TGCTGCTGCAGCTATTACTTAAGATATTTGAAAAAAAATCTCCTGCAATAAATGCGTCTTGAATATCCATAATATATTTTGAATTTGTTGTTTACTTTTCATACCGAACATATGTTTAGCAAACGAGAACTTAACATGTCACTGTTACATTATTCTTATTAACAGCAATTAGTTATTTAATAAAAATCAAGTCTTTCCAAAGTAATATAGAAGTCTTTCCAAAATAAATTTGTTGAATAATTAGTATATTAATTTGACTTAATAATCATTTAAAATATGACGACTTTCATAAAATGTACCAGAAAACGGTTACAAATACAACATTACAGTGATCAGCTGTTTTTTATAACATACGCAAAATTTCGCTGTTGCAAAATAGACAAATCCGATGTGCTACTGCAGCCCTGGGTCAGACGCAATCGGTGCTGTAATCGTAAAAACCAAAACAAAGTCGAACGCCTTTCGGTCTACGCGATTTCGCTATCTTTGCATGGCAGCTAAGAATACAAGTACGTTTGTTTTAATGAGTATAAAGAGAGTTGTTTATACTTAAGTAGCACAGATATGCATATATATGTGTGTGCGTCTAAAGTGCAGGTCGTTAGGGAGAATGTGACTCACTCAAAAACAACTTGCAGCTGATTACGGTTGAATATCGTGTTTTTAACTGTGTGTGTGTGTATGTGTGTGTGTGTGTATATGCGTTGTGTGTGTTTGGCCTTAAGTAATTATTTGTGCTCTTTCTTCATTTTATAGAGTTGCGGTAAAGAATATACATATAGCTGACAAATGAGTAGTGAAGCCTCATTACTGCCGCCTGCTGTGGCTACCTCCCCCATAAGCGCTGCATCTGCCTCAAATACCTTAACTGAATCTATCTCGAATACAGATTTTTACATTGGCGTCGGCTTAGCCATTTCATCATGTTTCTTTATTGGCTCAAGTTTTATAATCAAAAAGAAGGCGCTCTTAAGGCTTAGCAGACATGGCGAAGTGCGCGCTGCAGCTGGAGGATTTGGCTATCTTCGTGAATGGATTTGGTGGGCGGGGCTGCTAACAAGTGAGTCATAAACGGAAAATTCTTATATCGCTATACTCATTTAATATGCTTTCAGTGGGTCTTGGGGAGGCGGCCAATTTTGCTGCTTATGCCTTTGCGCCCGCCTCGCTAGTCACGCCCCTAGGAGCACTCAGTGTAATCATCTCTGCGGTTATGGCATCGCGTTTCCTTAACGAGAAGCTCAACTTGTTGGGCAAACTTGGTTGCTTCTTATGCATACTGGGCTCTACGATTGTGGTGATCCACTCACCGAAAGAGAAGGAAATCGAGGACCTACAAGTGTTATTCGAAATGCTAGAGGATCCAGTTTTTATACTCTACATAATTTGTATATTTGGCTCATGTGCATTTATCGCCTGTTTCGTGGCTCCACAATATGGACACAGAAACGTTTGTGTCTATCTATTCGTTTGCTCCGGAATCGGGTCCTTAACTGTAATGTCCTGCAAGGCTTTAGGCTTGGCCATCAGGAGTACGATTGCCAATGGCTCAAATGTGTTTAGCACTTGGATGCCATGGTTCCTCATCGTCGTCACAGTGACCTTTATAGCCATCCAGATGAACTATTTGAACAAGGCACTTGATATATTCAATACGAGCATCGTGACTCCCGTTTATTATGTGATGTTCACCACCTTGGTGATTACGGCATCTGCCATACTACTCAAGGAGTTCAGCAAGATGCGTTTCGAGAATATCCTCGGCGATGTTTGTGGCTTTTTGGTGATCATCATCGCTGTGTTTATGCTAAATGCATTTAAAGATATTGATATTACTTTGACTGATGTTCGTGGCCTGATGCGTCCCAAGATGCAACGCCTCTCGCAATATGATGAGGAGGTCCTTGTCAGTACTCATTTAAAGGAGCGTCGCAATTCGTACGGCTCCAGCGATGTCTTTCGCAAGGCCTGACATAAGCAGCGCTATCAAGTTTAGTTATTCCCCATAGCAAAAGCTTGAACAAAAATTGAAATTGCATCCAAACAAAGAACACGAACTCCCATATCATTCGCATTTATCATTAAATGTTCCTTCACTCACATTTCGTTAAGTCTTAGCGTTATAAGAATATTGTTTACAAGTTGAAAAGTGCGATCAGTTATTATTTCTTTTTAGGCATATTTAAAACATTATTCATATTGTATATACCCTTGCCAATTTCTATGCTTGTTTTAATACTTAATAAAAGGAATCTTTTTGAACTTACCCATACTTTAATATATATTAACACCAAAATCATTTAGATTTTACAAATCAACAAAGCCATAGCTGCATTTTAAACTTAATTGTTTTGCCGGGCTTTTAATTTCGAAGATCATTGATAACAATAGCAATCGAAAGCGCCTCCATGTGAATGGCAGAGCTGCCAAAATCACAATTTGAAATTTATTGCAACGACATGATGAAATGATATGTGAAATCAAATTTTAATTCTTGGTTTAATTTTTTAGTTAAACCTTGATAGTTTGTATTATATTTTAGCCAACAATAACGCGCATCTAGTAAGATTTGTTTATATATAAATATCTCCACATCGAACAAATTTTAGTAGCTATTTAAGTCTACAGCTTATACAACCAAATCAAAAAATGTAAATAAAATTTTTTGTTAGTACGATTTGAAATTTCGGCAATAGTCGGTGGCGATAACAAATTGCCGCGTTTCACTGTGAATGGCAGGGCTGCCAATTAAACAATTTATTTCCACAGCTATATACATATATACTCGTGGAAATAATTTAAAAATTAGGCAGAAACTGTGAGCAGGCCGAAAAATGAGTGCCTTACGTTTTGGATTTGCGCGCTACGTGGTGAAATGTCCATTCGGCAATCGATGGAACAACCTCATTAGGGCTGCAACAACAGCGGCTGTAAATGGGAATGCCATTAGAGGAGCCGCAACGAAAGCAACTTGCAAAACTTTTGTCATTTTACAACGAGCTTCGCCCGTGCTCATATCGTTGCGCAGTTTTTCATTCAAATCAGTCACCAGCCTAATGGAGGAGAATTGTATTGTGCCCGATGTCATTTCCAAGGCACCCAAGTCCGTTGTTTCACTTGAATATGACGGCGGCATTTGCGTACAGCCCGGTGTGGTATTGACCCCCACTCAAGTGAAGTGTGAGCCCCGTGTCAAATGGGAAGCCGATCCTTCGAAGCTGTACACCCTGTGCATGACCGATCCGGATGCACCAAGCCGCAAGGATCCAAAGTTCCGTGAATGGCATCACTGGCTTGTCGGCAACATTCCCGGCAACAACCTGTCCAAGGGTCAGGTGCTCTCGGCCTTTATTGGCTCCGGCCCGCCACCAGACACCGGATTGCATCGATATGTATTTTTGGTGTACGAGCAACCGTGCAAGCTGGACTTCGACGAGAAGCCGTTGCCGAACAACAGCGCCGATGGACGCGGAGGCTTCAAGATTGCCAAGTTTGCTGAAAAATACAATCTGGGCGATCCTATTGCCGGAAATTTCTACCAGGCCGAATATGATGACTATGTCCCCATTCTCTACAAGCAATTGGGTGCTTAGAGGCGTATGTACCCGAGGCATTTGTATGGATTACATAATGTGGGAAGGGAGTTCTTTATGAATTGTTAATTAGAAACTGATATTGTAATTGAATATTGGCAATAAAGATGCATTTAGCATGAACTTTTTTTGAATTTTATATGCTATTGACCTATAGCAGTTTCAGCCCGCCGCAAGACAGCGGATTAAATTAATACATATATTTGATCTACTAGCAAAATCCGCCCCAGGCTTAGATGAAGAAACGTTGACGAACAGCAGCTGCAATAGATGCGGAGGCTTGAGGATTGCCGAATCTCTATCCTTTATAAGCAATTGAGTGCTTAGAGGCATATGTAACCGAAGCATTTGTATGGATTACATAATGTGTGAGGCGAGCTTCTTATAAATGGTTGATTAGAAACTGATAATGTAATTAAAAATTGGTAATAAAAATACATGTAGCATACATGTTTCTAGAGTTTTTCAATTTTACATAGATCACAAGTGCACAGAAATGCACCGTTAATAGTGATCATAAAATAGATACTGTATTTAATATCGATATTTCGCGAAGGCTTGGGGAAAAATTTATATGGCGATACTTGCAAACATCGGCTAATTACCATACTAAATAATAAAAATTTTTTTGATCTATTTCACAATTTCGGTTAAGTGGACTTTGATAATTATGTGATCTATTATGATCTATTTGTCTAGTAATTTCTGTGACGTGGGCTTTAATGAATATGTGCTTATGTAAACACCTATTTTTCCTTAATTATTTACATATATAGCAGATGTACTACATTAAATTTTCACCTGTATATATTATGTACTGTGGCGGTATAACATTATTTTTTAATTTGAAATCGATTCTGAAATTGTGAAATTCAATTTAAGCTATAATTTTCTAATCTCAGCATTTGAAATGAGTTGCGGTTTTATTGCGTGCAACTGTACTAATGTTTTTGTTATTAGAGATGACAAATATGAATACGATATTCGGAGTAAAGGCATTTGGAAAATATCGCTAATATCTATAAGCCAAAGCTTTGATTCAAATTATTTACTAACATTTTGACGAAGATAACATTAGATATTAATATACAAGTTTTTTTTTTTCAACGGAAGAATTTAAAAACACAAACAAACAAATATAAGACCTTTTTAGATTAACTAATTAAGCTCAAAATATTTTTATTTTTAAAATAATTTGACTAAAGCAAGATATTCAAATGTTAAAAGCTTAACGACTGTTTGGATATTCTCGATACTCGACTATCTTTAATAGATACGGATTATCGATACTTCTAATGCGATCTCCATTTGTTGAGATTATTAAAGCAAATTTACGATTTAAACAGCTATATGTGTGTAAAATACAAGTTCTCAAAATTTCCTTGTCTTCAATGTAAAATCGTTTACTATATAATGTATGCATTTATTTATTCATTCTCAATCTACAAATTTTCGCTTATGGGTGGACACATAAAAATCATGTATATATGTATAATCAAATTTATATTAACTTGGGTTTCAAAATGCATACAGGTGTAGAATTTGCTTTAAGATGATGAAGGTGCAACGGACTCTAAAGTTGGGTACTGCTGCTTGTGTTCCGGCCATTCCACCTCGCTGATGGCCTGGCAAAGAGAAATGGAAATGTTAAGAGAATATTTTTGCATCGAAATATTTATTTCATACCTTCAACTCGTCGAATGCCTGCTTGGCTATCCAATGGAATAATGGATTCTTCCAATCGCGTGCTATGGCCTGCAGCTCTTTGACTCCAGTTTCCGTGGCCGGCGACGAAGTCTTTGAGATTTTCTTATACTGAGCCCACAAATAGATCATGCTGCGCATTTTGTAAGTCCAAAAATCATTCGGAACCGTTCGTATCATATTCTGAACCTTCTCGGTGTTGGGCATCTTAAGGTTCTCCAAAAATGTGATATTCATTAGTGTAAATATGGACTTCATATTATTGAAATAATTGTCCGAATTCTTTTGCAATGCAAATTGGGCTTGGTTAACAATAACGTCGACCACCTGTTCTGTGGTCAGACGTGGCAAATCAGGTATAAAGCAGTTGCGCAAATTAACGCTGCCAAAGGTGGCCAGTTCCTCCTTGATCGCCTCCTCGCACCACTTGTAATCTGTCCACCAGCTCTGCCACGATGTATATTTCTTGGCCTCCTCCTTGATGGCCCACTCGTAGTGCAAACGTTTGCGAATGCGTTTCACCAAGGTGCGTCCAGCATTTTTGCCTTCCTGCTCGTAATCCTGACTCTCAGCCATTGCCTCATCGTCCAGCTCTTCGCCGCTTGTACTATAATTGGGTAACTGTTCGAAGAACATAATCGCATACGATTTATCCTCGGGCTGAGGCAATGCTACTTTCAGGTTATTAATATAGGGCAGCTTAAAGCCGCCGATCAAAAATCCACGCTTAATTGCGAGCTTGCGACGCTTGATATCCGCCTTGGTCAGGGGCGCAGGAGCTAGCTCAGCCACACGCTTTTGAGCTCCAACTAAAAGGAGATATATATAGATTAGATATGCATAATATATAAGTATTTAATATCGCCTACCTTTAACAATAGTTTTCTCTGCTGGCTTCTGTGCTTCAACCTCTTTCTTGTTGTTGTTGCTGTTGTTGTTAATGCCTTTCGCTTGAGTATTTGGGGCAGCATTGGGTGCATTTGGCTTGGGCGGCATATTAACGGGTTTCGGTTTGCCGCCATTGACACTGACATTCTTAACTGTCGATACATTCCTATTAACAAATTGTCTTTGTGGCAGCGGCTGCGGCTGCTGTTTCTGTTTTTGTTGTTGTTGCTGCTGCTGTTTCGGTTGTTGTTGTGGCTGCTGTTTCGGTTGTTGTTGTTGCTGCTGTTTCGGTTGTTGTTGTTGCTGCTGTTTCGGTTGTTGCTGCTGCTGCTGTGGATTGAACTGCTTGTTACGTGCAACATTGGGCAACTGTGGCTTGTTATTATAATTGATATTGTTGCTGTTAATTTGTCTGGGAGCACGTCCCTGTCCTTGTCCTTGTCCTTGCCCTAGCCCCTGATTGGGAAACGGTGGCCTATTGCCCATGGCAGCTTGATTAGGCTTGGGAATCGGCGGTCCACTAATATTTGCAGGTCCATTCCATTTATTGTTGCGATTGCCGCCGCCAATCGGTTTACCCGGTCCAAAGCCATAATTGTTGTTGCCCACTTGCCAGTTCGATTGGTTCTTCATCAAAGCATTGACCGTTTCCAACACTGCCAAAGTATTGCCAGCGGAACCAGAGTTGTTCGGACCGCGATAGTTGCCCGGCCCATTGCTCTGGCTGTTGTTGTTATTGTAAAATGATTGTTGATTGCTGCTGTTGCTGCTATTGCTGTTATTGATTTTGCTGTTGTCAAAGTTTAAGCCATAATCGTTGGGCGGTTGTGGCCCACGAAAGTCGTTATTAAAGTTGCGATCATTAAAATTGTCAAAGTTTCCAGTATTATTGGGACGCCCATACGGTGCTGCCGGGCGATCATTGTTGAACTTGAAATTGGAGCCAGTGCGGCTCACATGATTCGAGTCTTGGCCACCGCCACCGCCACCGCTGACGCCACTGAAGGTATCGGAGCGCCTAAATGTGTCCAAGTTGCGATCATTATTGTAAAAACGTGATGGAGTGTTGTCCGATTTGTTGTTGATGTTGTTGTTAGTGTGAATGTTGCTGTAATTAAGATCGCTAATGGAACGAGTTAGGCCCAAATTGCTTGGCAGCTGTTGTTGTTGATGCAGGGGCCCACGATAATTATCAGAGCCAGACATAGAAACAGAGTTTGATCTTGGCTCAAAAGAGCGGCCAAGGAAATTTGAATGCGACTGCGACTGCTGCGGCTGTAGCTGTGGCTGTTGTGGTCGAAACTTATCGTCAAAGCTACTCTTGATCGGTGCAACACTGCCATGGCTATTGCTGTTGTTAAAACGTTGATTGTTATTAGAATAATTTGAGTAGCCGCCGCCGCCACCACCGCTGATGCCGACATCGTTAGAACGACCAAAAGTGTTTGATTGCATGCTGCCAAATTTGTTGTTATCGTTATCGGGATAACGCTGATTATTGCCAAATTTGATGGTATCAAGTTCAGAAAATCTTTGATTGTTAAAACCAATTCCGCTGTTGCCATTGTTAAAACTATCCGTGCGACCATAGTTCATTGGACGACGGAAATTGTCGTCGACTGCACTGCCACCACCGTTGCCGCTGATGTTACCGCTGCCACCGCCGCCGCCGGCACCGCTGCCACCACCACCGCCGCGAATTGGCGCAAAAGACGATGCATCATTGGGCTGACGACGCTGGCCAATGCCGTAGGCGCTGTATCTATAATCCATAGCTAATTGTTCACAAATTCGTTTATTTGTTGACAATTTCGCGTCGAACACGTATAATCTAAACGGCAATATTTTTTTCCGTAACTTTTTAACTAATTTCTTTTTACTTGATGCCGTTCGAACTTGTAATATTTTCACATTTGACAGACACGCACACGCACAGGCACACAATACACAAACGCACAAGCTCACATATACAAAGCAGTGCTGTCAAACGTCGAAATGCGCTACCTCGAATATGAACTAGTTCAAAAACTATTCGTGCCAGTTCACTGTTCTGATTCATTAATCATTTAATCTATTTCTAAAAAATATTCTCATATGTACAGGATAAACAAAAATTCCTGCGAATTTAGAATTTCCAAATTTTGTTAATTTAGGATCGCTATTTTTAAAACCAGTTCGCATTTCCTCTATCATAATTTTGGTGAGACTTGGAACAAAATTCATGTTTGTAACCACTAATTCATGTTTGTAACAGACACAACCAGGGCTGAATAACTGTCAGTTGCAGGTAAAAAATAACATACTTACAATGTCAGGTAGAATACATACATTCACATAATCTGGCTATCCAAATCTTTATTGTATTTGAGAGAATATCTATTCATAATATACCAATAAAAGAGTAATTTTAAAAAATTTTAAATATTCCCGAAACATATTCTTAATATAAAGATATATTTCTCATCAATTTCCTAAAATGACTAGACTGGGCATAAAAAACATTTCTGTAGCGAAATTATATTAAGTTTCGTTTATTAACAACTCATTCCTCTCTCGAAATGCCACACAGCTCATCATTTTTGTATTTCAGAGTCAAACATTAATGATTGACTAATGAGACAGAAGCGCGCTGACGAAAAGCGAGTTGCTGACCTTAGTGAAAGGATGCGTTTGGGTAAAATAAACATTATGTTTAAAATTTTAGTTGCATTGCTTTATTTTTATTATTTTTTACATTTCACATTGAAGTAATTAATTTGTTAATAGCTAAGTGCATGCCACTTTGTTGTGAATGACCGGAATACGAATCTGAAGCATCTGTAAAAATATAAATAAATATTAGTGTTTTAAAAAATTATTTAAATAAATTATAATATTAACCTTGCTTGTTTTATCAAATAGCGCCTGCGCACGCTCCTGATTGAGGCGATATTTGACAAATGTATCAAATATATAGCCATGTTTCAAGGACTCAACCAGAATGCGATCTTCGCCTACATCCAAGCTGAACTCTTGGGATGAAACCTGGTTGAAGCAAGGTGAAATAAATGATTATTTTTTAAATTATGCGAGGACAGTCTGAACGATTAGGATTAAAACTTTTAAATCTTCAAAAATATGGAAGCTATTCCATATTCCATATAAAACACTGTACTTACGCAATTGGGTAAATAAAGCTCGGCATGAATTTCATCGACATTCTCATCGCGGATTCGAGCGCGTAGCTTATAAAGCGGCTGATGATTTTTGGTCCAGTTGTTACGAATAGTTGCAGCATGCTGCTCATCAATTTCCTGTATTAATTTCGAAGGCTTTGTGGATGTGGACGTGGATGGCTCCGCTGTGTGTTTATTTTCCGAAATTGCTCTGCCAACTGCGTCAGGTGTACCACCTGCATCGCTTGCTCTTTGCATGTCCTTATTTCTCACACGATGCGCCACCAAAGTGCCGATAAATTTGCGATTACTCAATATTATTGTCTTATCCATCGTTATTTGTACATTGTATTTTTCGCTGAGCGCTTCGGCAACGATTTGCAAAAAGAAATTGTTGAAGAGTTGCGATTTTTTTATTTTAGTCAAAAACTTTGGATTTATTGCTATGTCGCATACTTCTACGGAGTTATTGGAACGATCTTTGGTATGACGTATCTCCGAAATGCTCATTGGGACGCGAAACGATCCGGGCGTCGTTGATTCCAATATACTTATTAGCTCGCCATCGGATATATCTTTGGGTCCAGGAACTTCCGGTGCTTGGCAAACGTTTATGAAGAACTTTTCATTGCTATTGATCTTAAAGCTCTTAACACAGAAACCTGATCAGATTGACGAAATCAGAAAATTGTAGTTAATTAATAATTGAATTGATCAAAAATTTGTTTGAAAATTAATTTACCTCAAATAAAGAAATGTATTTTCTATCAGATTATGTTGAATTAATAAGTAATTAGAAACAATTTATATATATATATATATATATATATATATATATATTATATATATTTATATATATATATATAAATTCATACGATTAATATTCTGTTGATACAAATCATTTTCGCTTATAATAGCCGTTTCGCCTACGTTTAGTATTTTGTAATTTTAATTATTTCGCTCGCGATAACAGCTCTCTCGCTCTCGATAACTGTCGATACCTTTCCAATACTCTTTTATTGCGTTCGTTAAAGCCTCTTTGAGCTAACTAAAGCTTTTATAAAGTTGCGTGCAAAAAATAATAAAAAAAAAAAATGATGAGCCATTGAGAGAGATGAAAAGAGTTCGAAACAGTAATTAAACCTCGTCTCATTGTAAACAGAGACAATACATACATATATATGTGCCTGTCTGTTTGTTTTTGTTTTTTTTTCACCCGTTTATATTTGTTTTAAGTTAAGCATATGTATGTTTATAGGAGGTGTTATGTCTCTGTAAACAATTGGTATCTTTTTAAGTATGATTCAATAAACACTGTTATTCCCCTTAACTATTATTCATAAATAGCCTATACATGTGCGTATGTATGTATGTATGTATATGGTCGGCAAACGTTTGCTCGCGTATTTCCTCGTTAACTCTTTCTATCTTGCTCTTATCAACTAACTCTCTTGGAGGCCTTTCACACTATCTTTTCGCGCGCGTTAAATTGCTACATAATGGGCAATGACTAGCCAAATGCATAAATGTATGTTTGTGTGGGTGTCTGCTCATCTGCCACAAGCACAGTTAGCAAGGGTGGCCAGCAGGCTGCTTGGGCTTATTTATGCCGGCATAGCTCGTCGCGCCGATCAAACAAAAGAACACAGCGTGAAAGAGAGCGAGAGAGGGCATTTGTGGATGTGTGAGAGCTTGCACATTTTGTCTTCTATCAAGTTTGCCTTCTGCTACATTAGTATTGGTCAGAGAGCGAACCGGCCGCTATCGTATCAAATTGAAACAAATAAGTTGCGCTGGTTTGGGCGTTTGGTATTCAGTTGCTTCTGTCCCTCGACACGGACCGGTCGAAAGGAACACACGAAAATAGAAATAACGAAAAAAATTATCAAGTTGTATTTAGGTCCGATTAAAATTGCCGAGGTAATTATAAGTGGTTTTTTATTGTGGTGCTGTGTTTGTTGTCATTGTTGCCGTTGTAGTTGTTATTGTTATTCGGTTGGCTGCAAGCGTAACAAGTGCGATGAAAAGTTATTTGACTCACATTGTGAAATGCTCTCTACGCGTATTCTAGAAGGGCTTTATAGGTGTTGTAAATATTAAGTACTCTAACGATTTTGAATGAATCATTTAAAAAATTAAATTTGATAATAAATAAATTGTTTTTGTTCGGCCATGCTCAATGCCGATTTATAATTGATTGAATCGAACAAAAAAAGAAAAAACAATTAAATGAATTATATGCGTAAAATATATACGTATGTGTGTGTGTGTGTGAGTCTGTGCGCGTGTACGTTATGCTGTGATCAGCTAAAACAGTTAGCACAGTTTTTAGGCAAGACTTTAGATGATGACGTCAGTGAAGCTCAACAGAAGCTCGAGTGTGCTGCCGAAAAAAGGGCTCTCGATGGAGTACGCACAGAGTGAGAGCGTGGATGAGAGACACATGTACGACACACTCATCCAAACTGTTATAAACAAGCGCGATAAGCATTTAGAACAATAAAATTATAAAGTGCAATTGAAAACTAAAGCAACAGTAAATAGAAACAATACACGCGAACGTCTATGTATATATGTATGTATGTGTATAACAGTAGTTTTATTGTTGCACACATATATATGTACATCTATGACAATTATGTATGTGTTTATTGGGCAAGTACGGGTACTTGGATTTGCGATTGATAACAACGCGTTGCCGCTTGAAAGATAATGAGATAATTGGAATTTGCGCAATCCTGTAAAGGACGCCATGAACGAAAACAAAGAATTCAACAGTCCAGATAACGATGGACCAGTGTGCTGCGATAACATTCAAAAGACAATTAATTATAAACATTCAAAAGAAAACTCGTGCAAACGACTGGGAAATACCCTGTCTAATTGTTTAACCAGCGTTTGCTTAATGAATGTCAGTGAAAAATGTTTGTCAAATGTGTGTGAACAGTTTAAAATGAGTTGGGCCTCGTAGCAGTGAAACTGATGTGAAAACAATGTAGGATGACTTCAATTTAACAGTTAAAGGCCTATATAAACCAGATAAATACAATATACTCTCTATGGAATTTTGTCTACAGGGCACACGAGTTATTTATTGCATATATGTATCATATATCATTTCAATGTTCTTTTCAATGGAACCTATATATTGTATATGCAAAGTCTACTGAACTTTGGTTTTTGTTACTTTATTTTTAATCTTTTATTATGATATCATATTGCGGATTGCCCTTTTCTGTAGAATATACAGCATCAGAATGAGTCGACAAATTTGTATATACATATGTATATGTATATTAATTGAAAATATGTGTAGGAAAATATCTCCGCATTTCTTCTAAACGCAATTTTTGTATTAAAATACATATTTCGTTTTGAGATATTTGATTATATTACATAACACTGAATGATCGCCGGAACAGGTTTGGCATTAATTACAGAAGAGAAAAAATACCCGTTTTTTTCTGTTTGATTGTTTACTTTAACCTTGGGTAGAGTATAATTTATTTTGTCAGTCGGTTTGCAACGAAGCTTATCTTTAATTCACAATGAATGCATTCACAGTTCCATGCTTATATGCTACATGTTTGATTGATTTGCAGATTGTTATTTGGGTCGACGATTTTTTTCAGATAGTATATAAAGCTCAAAAATTCAGATATTTAAAAATAAATAAAACTAATCTAGTTAAAAATTCTGAAGAACTCTATACATGTAGCATAAAAATATATTAAAGCTATTATATATGCTTTTATTTCTCTATTTAAATTTTTAGAACATGTAAATTTCCCAAAAAATCTCCAAGAGAAATTCAGAGGATATTTTTTAGAGCATTTAATCTACGTTGTTCGGCAAATAGGTAAAAAGTAGTTTCTTAATTCAACAAAAGTTTTATACTAAAACAGACAAACAAACTCGTTTCTAGCATCAAGCATAGATCAATAAAATAAAATATATACAGGTGGACATATATTGTGGCATTGGCAAAGATCAAGAGTAGGGAGAGGCAAAACTGGTTTAATAAATGAGCTGGAAATATGTCTATATATAAATAGACACACATAGCTACTAAATGTAGAAGAAATACAAAGTATTTTTGTTAGGAATTTCTAGCGACAAGACGGTCAAGCCTAATAAAGATATTTTATATGTGAACACTTCGTAGCGAATTAGCGCAGGGGGCAATCTATGTGTTTGTCACTGATTTATGAATTGCTTGTGACGCTCAAGGCAATTATTGATAAGCGCTTAAAATCTGATTTAATTGTTAGCAACAAGGCAATTGCATTCAATTTCAATTGTCATGCGCGTGAGACAACAATTTGTTATTTTAAGAACAATAAAAAAGTCACTAACCGGGCGTAGGTTGTACGATAATCCAGTCGCGTGGCGGCGCTGCCATGCCGGCCTGATCTGTAGCTGTAGCTCCACCACTAAAGAACTGATTTATATTCTCTTCAAACTCATTCTAAAGGGAAACAATAGTTGTATTTATTCACAATTATATTCTTGTATTTTGTTTAATTCCGCTTACCTTGACGAAGCGCAAATTCTCGTCGCGAATTCTATCGTTGCCATCTATAAAGTTACAAAGTTTCGACATGATGATGCATTTGTTTTATATACGAATTTTACTTTATTTAACAATATTGAATACTATTTGAATATTATTTTCGATTATTCTAGTTTTGTGACAGATAGTTTCTGATTTTGTTTTATTATTTTTGCAAGTTGCTGTCAGGTTGCTAAGCGATTGGTTCGATAACAAGATTAGTGCTGTGAAGTGCTGTCAGGTTATTTATCGATGAACGAGTTGGGTTGCGTATATACCAAAATCCGCTAAAAATAAAATAGCTGCCACGAAAATACTTTGTTTGGTAAAATGAAGTTTCTGACAAATGTGTGAAAAATATGCTTTTATTTTCAAAATTAATTTTGATGTACGATTGACAGTTATTTAATCAGCTTTAAATTTCAATCTTGTTATCGACTTTTAAATATATATGTTTATAATAACAAACAATTAGTACACATATTGTATCCAATTTTAAATTTTCGAAAATGCCAGCTCTAATTTATAAATAGATATATAGGCAGCACTCCGCTAAATTAATCGTTATCGTTTTTTTTTTATTATTGTTTTCGTCTTGCGAAATAGACCAGCTGTTTTTACAGTAGTACAATCGTTTCTTCACTTTCATGTTTCATGTTTTACAGTTGCGTTAAGCTGAAAGACTCGCACGTGGAGGAGTGCCTAGAGAAAAAGTTAGAAGACAAAACGCGACCATGGGAGACATTACACCCATGGACGAGTTTTGCGGCTCCACATTCTGGGTGAGTGCCAAAAGAATATATTTATATATATTTAAAACTGTTGTATAATTTCCTTTATTTTCTAACAGGATGTCAATGCGACGTGGTGGACAGTTGATCCAGATTTTACGATCTGTTTCGAACAAACTGTCTTAGTGTGGGCACCCTGTGCATTTTTTTGGGCATTTGTCCTCATCGATTTTTGGTATTTGAAAGCAAGTTTGGATAGGAATATACCCTGGAATAAATTGAACATTGGCAAAGTGTTGTTCAATGTGGGCTTAATTATAATCACCGCTTTGGATTTAATTATGGCGCTCGTCAAGAAAGGCGAAGCGGATATACCGATGTATCCTGTTGATATTTGGACTCCTGTTATTAAATTGGCAACCTTTGTAAGAAATATGAACTGTAGTTGGGTTAAATTTCTCTATAACTATCGTTTGTTTCTTGTTTGCAGATAATGCTATTGATTTTTATACCCCTCAATCGGAAATATGGCGTGCAAACATCTGGTTGCCAATTTCTCTTTTGGTTTTTCTTGGTGATCTTCTCCATACCGCGCTGTCGAACGGAGGCGCGAATGCATCAGGAGCGCAGTGATATAATCAACTCACAGAACGCGACGCCACATGACTTCTCCTGGGAAACGTACCAATTTTGCAGCTTCTTCATCTTCTTTACCTTGTCCGTGCTGATGCTGATACTCAATTGCTTCGGCGATCAATTGCCCAGGCAAACAAAATATAAGCGAGGACCAAAAGAGATTCCCGAGTTGTCGGCCAGCTTCCTTTCCCGCATCACATACAGCTGGTTCGACAAGATGGCCCTGAAGGGCTATCGCAATCCGTTGGAGGAGGAGGATCTATGGGATTTACGGCCACAGGATAGCTGTAAGGAGGTGATGCCCACCTTTGCCTATTACTGGAATAAAAATGTGCGCAAGAACTATCGTCGCATGGCTAATGCACAAGAGACGAAGGCACAATTCAGCAATGGCAAAGTCTCCTTTGAGAATCCCCAGAAGAATGGCAAGAAGAAGGGCATGGCTAGCATTATGCCGCCCATATACAAATCCTTTGGTGGAATTTTTCTCTTTGGCTCCTTCTTCAAGCTAATCACCGATGTTCTAACCTTCGCCCAGCCGCAGGTGCTGAGTTTGATCATTGGCTATGTGGAGGACTATCAGACGAATCCACAACCAGAATGGAAGGGCATTATGTATTCGATTCTACTTTTTGTGCTAGCCAGCGCACAGACATTCATACTCGCTCAATATTTCCATCGCATGTTTATTGTGGGTCTGCGCATTCGCACGGCCTTAATCAATTGCATTTATCGGAAAGCTTTGCGCATTTCGAATGCGGCACGTAAATCGTCGACGGTTGGAGAAATTGTGAATCTAATGGCTGTGGATGCTCAACGTTTCATGGATTTGACAACATATTTGAATATGTTGTGGTCGGCCCCATTGCAAATCGCTTTGGCCCTGTATTTCTTATGGCAGCAATTGGGTCCATCTGTACTAGCCGGTCTCGCCGTGATGGTCATTATGATACCTCTCAATGGATTCATAGCAAGTCGCATTAAGACCTATCAAATAAGGCAAATGAAGTATAAGGATGAACGTGTTAAGCTAATGAATGAAGTCTTGAGTGGCATAAAGGTTAGTGGAGCTCATCTAAGAAATTATTATCATGTAATATTTATAATCTGTATTCTTATAGGTGCTCAAGCTTTACGCATGGGAGCCCAGCTTTGAGAAACAGGTACTGGGCATACGTGATAAGGAAATAGCTACACTACGCGCTACGGCTTATCTGAATGCCAGCACATCCTTCCTTTGGTCCTGCGCTCCCTTCTTGGTAAGCTATGGCAAACGATTCGCCACACTTTGAATTCTCTTTGCAGAACTTGACTTGATGGAGTTTAACTGAGGAATCTGTATATCTATCATTTAAAATGTTTGAAAAAAAAAAAAAAAAAAAAAAAAAAAATCAAACAAACACAATAAGGTATCCTTGGTGACATTCGCCACTTACGTATTGTCCGACGAGGCGAATCAGCTGAGCGTCTCAAAAGCCCTTGTCAGCATTTCACTGTTCGAAATCATGAGGCTGCCATTGGCCGTAATGCCCATGCTGATGGTAGACATAGTCGAGGTAAAGCCCAAGGATCAACTGGAAATTGGAAATCTATTAATAATAATATGTATAATTCGAGAACCATTTACTTCGGCTATGGGCATCTATCAGCACCGCAAGAGTGGGCTCACAAAATACAACCGAAACCTATAATCCAATATCGTATTACTATAAAATTACTGTATATTCTAGGTATCATTAGTCACATTTGCCACATACGTTCTAATCGATGAGAATAATGTGCTCGATGCGAAAAAAACCTTTGTCTCATTATCATTATTCAACATCCTTCGTTTTCCGCTAACCATGTTGCCCATGCTGATCACCAACTTGGTGCAAGTAAGTTAACCTTATTGCGAATCGACTACTTTTCCCCATGTACACCTTGATATTACATGTGATTTGACTGATATATATTCAAACGATGATAGTCTGAACAATCTGAAAATAATATAGTATCCGAAACTACTCAGTCCATTATCGTATAGATATATATATGTTTTATCTACATATATATCTAGATGTAATTGGGAAAATATATTGTGCTGTATTGTGATTGTCAATCTTTGTTCAACTATATTATTTACTTTTATAATTATTATTTTTTATTTAGCTACAGCAAACAATGACCCCTATTTAATCCTAACTAAACCTAACCTCTCTCGAAAACTAACATAAAAATCTAATTCATTTAACTTTAAATTTATAAATGGTTCAATTGAACGAAGATTTGTATTTTGTTCCTCAACTCTTCTAATTAGATGTTGTTCCCTCTTTCATGAAAGATTCACCTTGTTCAAAGAACAAAGAAGTTAATCATTTACTAAGAAATTCATAAAAATATGTTGAAGGTGATAAATCAGTTTTCATAATTTGTATTTATTGTTAGCGGTCTTTTAAAGGGCTTATTAGATATTATCATTCAAGTGTCCTTTACTATGAAAAAATTGTTGACATTTTTAGTGGGGCAATTCATATGCTATTTGATTCTATTTCTAATTCTACAGCATCTTCATTTAGTTTAAAATTCAATTTACCCTTGCAGAGGGTATTTTTTGAGAGAGAAAAAAATTGCTATTTAATTTATTATCTTCAAAACTATTTTAATTTTTGTCCGACCTTTTCAAAATCTAATGTAGTCGTATTTGAGGAGTAGAATTTCGCATTTATTTGGGTTTTTAACAAAACAAGCCCATTATAATACCCCTAGCTCTGCAAGGGTACCAAAATTTCGGTAACCCGAGTTTAGAGGTCTACTTTCGTAGACAAGAGCTTCTCCCAAAACCTTTCCGTACACTCCATCCACGAACTTACTACTAATAATAGCTGTGTGTTGTTTAGTGTTGTATATGGATAAAATAATCTCTAACCGATTTCCTCTTTGCTTAGACGCAAGTTTCTGTAAAACGTATAAACAAATTCCTGAACAGTGAAGAGCTAGACCCAGACAATGTACAACATGATTCCTCAAAGCGTGAGTACATCGCTCTATATTTATTTATATATGTACCTTTATATAATTATTATAATAATACTTTTCTTTTGTAGCCCATCCCATGAGCATTGAGAACGGGCACTTCTCCTGGGGCGACGAGGATGAGTTGACGCTCAAGAATATCAATATGGAGGTGCGTAAACAAAATCTAGTCGCCATAGTTGGCACTGTTGGCTCCGGTAAGTCCTCGGTCATCCAAGCGTTCCTCGGCGAAATGGAAAAGATCTCGGGCACGGTCAACACGGTGGGCAAAATGGCCTATGTGCCACAGCAGGCATGGATCCAGAATGCGACCGTACGTGATAATATATTGTTTGGCAAAGCGTACGACCGTAAACGCTATAATCAAGTGATCGACGCATGCGCTCTGCGTACGGATATTGAGATCCTCTCTGCTGGCGATCGCACCGAGATCGGTGAGAAGGGCATCAATCTGTCCGGTGGCCAAAAGCAACGCATCTCCTTGGCCCGCGCTGTGTACAGTAATGCGGATCTATATCTACTGGATGATCCGCTGAGCGCTGTGGACTCGCACGTAGGCAAACACATCTTTGAAGAGGTGCTGGGACCGAAGGGTATGCTGGCGAAAAAGACCCGCGTCCTTGTCACCCATGGCATTACGTTCCTGCCACAGGCCGATAATATCTACGTGATGAAAATGGGCGAGATTAGTGAGAGTGGCACATACAGTGAATTGCTGAGGAATCGTGGAGCCTTTGCTGACTTCCTAATGCAGCATCTGCAAGAGGGCGAGGCGGAAGCGGAGGAAATCGATCAAATCAAGCGACAGCTATCACAAACTGATCCCG